AACTCTCCAGACCCTGGGAATTGATTTTAATGAATGCCACCCCTTACAACCTTACTAAGGAGGGGTTATAAATCATACTCATTTGGGGGTGCCAGGGATCATCCCCCGGCCTCACACATACATCAAGTCTTATGCTCCACTGATGAGCCTCAGCCCTGCCCCGTGGACCACACTGTCTTGTCGGTGAGAAGGCTGAGGCTCAGTGTGGTTAAGTGACTGTCCAGGGATGGGTAGAATCAGTGACTCCAGAATTTTGTTCCAGACTTTGCTCCCAGTCAGTGGATCATCTTGTCCCCAGCGGGTCAGTGCCAGGGCACGAAAGCCAGGGACGAGTGTCATCTGCAGCACAGAGGGTCTCCGTGCTCCACAGAGATGGAGAAGAGAGAACGGAAACACCTTGGAGGTCTGGGGACTATCTGGGATGCCAGGGATTGAACCCAGGGAGGCCGTGTGCAAGGCAAGTGCCCTCCTGGCTGTACTATCACGCTTTTGACCTCGTCCTCCTTCTTTGGGGCCCTGTTTGACTGAGGTTTGGCAGACCCAGAGACAATAGAGATAACCCCCTAACTTGCTAGGCCTTGTTAGTAGCCAGCCCCCTTCTGTGGGAAGAAGGGGCTGAAGGGGGGGCTGTTTTTGATCCCCCAGGAGCTACCGTACTGTCCCACATAGGAGGGCAGCCAAGAAGCTGGCTCCTGACATCCAGGCTGAGTAGGTGAAAATATCCCCCAAGTCATTCCCCCTTGATGCAGGGCACTCAGAATCACTGCATAGGAGTGAGCTGCTGTCTCCATAGGCCCTCCCTGCCCAGGACAGAGGACAATGCACCAAGGCTGATTAGGATTCAAATGGCCGCTCCTAACCTGGAGAGCCCGCAGGAGCCAGGGATGAGGCTGGGAGTTGGGTCTCGCCTTCATCTGTCAGCTGCTCAAACATGCTCTCCGCCTGTCTCACCCACTGTCGTGCCATGAGGCCACACCCACACCTGCTGTGTGCTTGGACACTCAGTCATGGCGCTCACACGACCAGCTGTGTGTCTTGCCGAAGGGTCACTTCTTTAGCTGGTCTCCCTGCGGGTCACACTCTTTTTTTTCCCCAGATATGCTGGGCTCTCCCGGGTCACTGTGGGGCTCAGACTCAGGCTCCCTGTTGGTGGCATTCCCTGCCCCTGGTGCTTATACATTTCAGTACTGCCCCCTGGGGGTTGCGCTCTTGTAACTGGGCTGCTTGTGCCCCAGCTGTCGTGTGCCCAGAAATCACTTTCCGTGCCTCAGGTCAGTTCGCAGAGTTGCCAGGGCGTCTATGGCCAGTTTGGCAATACCAAGGGTCGAACCTCACAGTTGTAAAACAAGCATTCTTTTTTAATGTTTTTTTGTGTGTTTGTTTTTATTTTGTTTTTGGGGCCACTGGGCTCAGGGCTTACTCCCGGCTCTGCACCCAGGGGCCACTCCAGGAGGGGCCGTGTGGGTGACCAAACCCAGGTCAGCTGTGTACGTGGCAAGTGCCTTACCCTCTGTCCTATCACTCTGACCCGACAGCAAGAATCCTAAGCCACGAGCCAGCCCTCTGTCCCCAATCTTTTTTTTTGTTTTTTGAACCATACACAGTGGTACTCAGGACTTAATTCTAGCTCAGTGCTCGGAATCATCCCAGGTAGTGCTCAGGGGACCATATATAACGTGAGGGATCAAATCAGGATTGGCCATGTGCAAGGCAACACCCTACCCCTTGTACTCTGGCTCTCGACTGGTGTTCTAATAAGTGCGACTGCCCCCTCTGCTCTGACCACCACCAGGCTTGCCTCTCGCCACAGTGCTCCCAAGTTGAGTGTGCTGCTCCCAAGGGGCTCAACCATGTCCGTGCCCACTTTGGCTGTGGTGCTTGCTAAGACTCTGGTACTTGGTTGTGGCACCAGGGATGCCAGATGGCAGTGCCACCAGATCTTACTAGGCATGTGGGTGGCGCTGGGGGCCAAATCCGTGACCTCTTGCTTGTTTGGGCAGCCGGTGCTCTGCCACAGAGCCAAATCTCTGGGCTCCCAAAATAACAACTTTAGAATTGATATTATGGGGGCCAGAGCAATAATAGTCAAGCGGGTAGGTAGGGTATTTGCCTTGCATGTGGCCAACCCAGGTTTGATCCTCGGCATCCCATATGGCACCACCAGGAGTAATTCCTGAGTGCAGAGCCAGGAGCATCAACTGCTGAGCATCACTGGGTGTGACCCAACAAGCAAATAAATAAATAATAAAAGATCTGTGTTAGAATTGAAATTATTTATAAACCATGGGATCTCAATTTAAAAAATATGTGTAGGGACTGGAGAGATAGTACAGTGAGTAGGGCGTTGTATGGCTGACTCGTTTCACTCCCCAGCACTGCTTGGTCTCCTGAGCCCTGCCAGGGGTCACTCTAAGCACAGAGCCGGGTATAGCTTGAGAATCACCAGGTGCGGCCCCAAAATCTATAAAAGTGAATAGAATTAAAGATATAATTAAATCTCTCCAGGTGGTGCGCTGCCTGAAGAGCCCGCTCGGAGGAAGCCGGAGGGCGGGTGTCACTCAGGCCCACGTCCAGCCAGGCTGCTCTGGGGGTGGCCCACAGTTTCCTCCTCTGACTTCCCAGAGGCTCGGGGCTGACACGGACTGAGCCTTCCTTGAGCTGATCAGTGACAGACTGGATGGAGGAAGGGGGGCAGACTGGACCTGTTGCACTGGAGACAAGACTGAGTCCAGGCTGGGGCCCAAGATCCATGGGTCCTCCTCAGCCTGTGGATCCAGAGCCCTCTGGACCACCAGTGGGGTCTTCCCAGGAAAGGGGGTTTGGTGCTGCTCTTTGAAGGTTAAAGACAACGTGGGGACAGGAAAGGGGAGTGGAAGGAGGAACTTCAACGGTGGGCTGAATGAAGGACCAAGCAGGTTCCCAGCAGACTACACTATTGCCAGAGACATCATTTATATTTTTTCCCTTTTTTTTTTTTTTTGGCTTTCTGGGTCACACCCGGTGATGCTCGGGTTGGGGATGCTAATTGAATCACTGTGATATACAATTTACAGAGTTGTTCCTGATTGGATTTCAGTCATATAATGAATGTTCTAACATCCATCTCTTCACCAGTGTACTTTTACTTTTCCCACAACCAATGAATGGTCCCAGTTTCCCTCCCATTCCCCACCCCATCCCACTGTCTGCCACTATGGTAGTCTCTCTCTCTCTCTCTCTCTCTCTCTCTCTCTCTCTCTCTCTCCTGGCCACATCTGCTCCCACCCCTGGGGCTATAGGTCTTGAAGGACTGGACAAACACACACAGAGACACTCTCTCTCTCTCTCTCTCTCTCTCTCTCTCTCTCTGGAGAGATGGAAGAATGGAGAGATCATTGAGAGGTTGAGGCACTTACCTTGCTTACAGCTGACCCCAGTGCCCTCCCTAGCACCACACAGAGTTCCCTGAGCACCATCAGGGACTCACTTCTGAACCAGGAGTAGCCCAGGCTCTGCCAGGTGTGGCTCAAAGCCCCCCTTTTCCCACAAAGAAAAATACCCAAAGAAACCCCCAGCCCCAGGAGAGAGGGTCCATTGCAGATGTAGCCACACGAATCACGGGCTACTGGCTCGTCTACTCTCCCTGTCTCTGTCCTGCACCTGGGGGCCCCAGCAGGTAGTGGGGTCAGCTGCCAGCCGGTGCAAGCCACCCACCCAGCAGGAAGGCAGATCAGCCATCCCCCAAATGGCCAGGAGACTCGCAGTGGGGGGCCGGGAGGGCGGTCACCACTCCTGAACCCTGTGTGTGTTCTCAGGTTAGGCCTGGCTCTTGGACCCACCCGGCCTGAGGGAGTGCACTCCCTGATGAAGCCCACAGGTTGAAAAGCCCCCTGATGTTTACAGAGGCGGAGCAGAGCCATCAGCCCAGGACCATGCCCGACCCTGCTCCTGGGTGGCAGCCGAGAGGCTCAACTCAGGACTGTTGACTCGGGCGCCGAGTCCGGTGGCAGCCCGTTTGTGTGTCTAACTGGTCCTCCCTCATGGTTTCAAAGGCCCGGGCCATGTAGCTTGCAGTGTAGCACATCGGCTATGAGAGGCTCTGGGACCCGATGTGTCACTGGGCAGCGGGTGGGGTGGCTGGTGTTGGAGTCCTGGGGCAGGGCCTCTGTGCTCTTCCCCCCATGGACTCTCGCCCACCTGCTGGCTCTTCCCTGAGGTCCTCGCTGTCTGTCCATCACCACTAGCACAAGGCCCAGCCCCTGCTGGACCCACATTCCTAAAACCCCAGTGGAGAGATATGATGTGGGCCAGCACTGTGTAAGGGTGGGGGGTGTGGCCAGGGAACGTGGAAGCAGATGAGTAAGAGCCGGAGGCCAGGGTTCCTGTCTCCTAGAGACCCTGGCGACTGGTGGGAGGGGGGGATGTCCCTTTTTTCCTATTTTTTCTTTCCTTTGGGGAGGAGGAGGGACATTTGGTTTTTGAGCCACACCTGGTGGTGCTCAGGGCTGACTCGTGGCTCTGCACTCAGGGATCACTCCTCGTGGGGTTCAGAGGACCATAGCGGGTGCTGGGGATCAGAGCCCTCTCAGCGGTGGGCAAGGCAAGCACATTCCCTGCTGTACCATTGCTTCAGCCTGGAAAAAAAAAACCCTTTCTCAGCAACCCACGTTTTCCGAGTGCTGGGGCTTCCTCTGGATGTGTGTGTCTATGCGTGGTGTGTGTGTTTGTGGTGGGGGGTGGGGAGGAATGGCTAGGAAGGGTCAGCTCGAGGATGTGGTCTGTGTGCTGACTTGACCCACAAGCCCCAGGGATGTGCAGATGCGGTGGGCCGAACCAGCAGAGCACAGAGAAAGAAGGTGTCAGGAATCCTGGATCACCCCAAGGGATGCTCAGGCACACACACCCCCACCCTGACATCTCGGGGCCGGCACACGTCTCATCCCCACTCTCCACACCTTGGAGTGGTGGGATGTCCTTGCCACCCTGGGGGTACCTGTGGTCTCAGCCTGCTCTCCCCACAGGTGGCGGCACTGGAGCGGCAGATCTTTGACTTCCTGGGCTACCAGTGGGCACCGATCCTTGCCAACTTTCTGCACATCATGGCCGTCATCCTGGGCATCTTTGGCACCGTGCAGTACCGCTCCCGGTACCTCATTCTGGTATGGTTCCCTCCTCAGCTGCTCCCCCTGCCACCCCCCTGCCCCCCCACCTCCTCCCCCAGGCACTCGTCTCTGCCCTGGCTCCAGCCTGGCCTGGGTGCTGCACTCGATACCCAGGGCCCAGTGCTTCTCCGTGGCTACAAGATTGGTATTTTTCCTAAAGAATTTCCCAGGGAACAAGCCTAAATATTAGCAAGATACATCATTCAGTGCGCGCCTCCCGCCCTGTGCCAGCACCCTGCTGAGTTCCGCAGTCCTTAATGCGTTGTTGCCACAGCCTGCAATCCTGGTCTCCCCCACTCCACTGTCCATAGGAGATGACGCTCAGGGTGGTTTCCAGGTGTCCTCAGGCACCACGGCCAGGACTTGACAGGAGGGTCCCAGAAGGCTCTGGTTGCTTCACCTCAAGGCCTCTGGCACGGGGAGCATGGGGTCATAGCCGGTTTAGCTTCTCCGGTGTCCTCTGGATGCTCATCAGCTATGATCAAGGGGCCAGGGATGAGGCTTAAACACTAAGCACAGTTGTAGCATGGGTGAGTCCCTGGGTTGAAACTCCTGAAACTCCAACCACCCTCCCTCTCCCCACCTGCCCCAGCACCATCAGGGATAGAACCAGTGGACCCCAATGATTGCCAGAAGACCATGCCACAAAGGAAACAGAAAGTTGCCGAGGGCTCCTAGTACACTTGGCATCAGAGCTTCCTCCGCTCCATCCCAGAAAGGCTTTCTGGCCCTGACACACCCTCTGTCCTCTTCCCAAGCCCTGGGAGGTTTCTGCCAAACTCCGTTTTGGTTTGACTCACCCTCACTCTGTAGGTGTATGGAGTAGATGCAGGACACCAGCACCGCGGGGCTACCCGGTGGCCTGCAATTGCCGGAGCCTGCTCCCACGCATTCTGAGGCTCCCCCCACACCTTGCACTGGAAGGTGTGCCCCCAGAAGTACTTCCAAATCTCCTCCCCCCCGCCCCCCCCCCCAGATGAGAGACACCCAGGCAAAGCCCTGGGTTATGCTTAACGCCTCCTGCAGCGCCATCTGAGGGGAGGCAGCCCCTGGACTTGCAGGCTTAGGGCGGGCGGAGATGCCCAGAGCCTGTAATTCGTTGCCGTGGGTAGGGCGCCATCTGGTGGCTATTTTGCAGAGCGGCGCTGAGGAGCCCCTTCCCTGGTACCCGGACTGGATTGCTTCTACCTCTTCAAGCTCTTGTGAGCTTGCCAGACGGTGAAATTTCCCTGGAGAGATCAATGCCTTCCCTGCAGGGCTGTTGTAAGGACTGGATGGATGTAAATACAGCTTATATACTAGAAAGCACTCAGAAAGCAGTATTGGCTTTCTCCTGGCGCTCAGACTCTATGGACAACCCCCACACACACACCTCAAACCCCCACCCTGACCCCACCTCTTGTTTTTCCCAGTATGCAGCCTGGCTGGTGCTCTGGGTCGGCTGGAACGCTTTCATCATCTGCTTCTACTTGGAGGTTGGACAGCTGTCCCAGGTAAGCCTCAGGCCTGGCAGTGCCAGGGGACGGAACTTGACCATCGCCACAACCCTCCCCAAGGGCTCCTGGAGGCGTGGGGTGGGTCTGGGGCATAATCACTAGAAGAAAATCAATCATCAGAGCTTCTCATTCCCCTGTGCTGCTCAGAAGCAAGTGATGGGGTTTGAGAGGGGATTCAAAGGGCAGAGGAGGGCATGATCTGCATGCAGGACCCCCAGGTTTCAGCCCCAGCACCACCAGCTGCAGAAACACACAAAGGATGGGGAGGTATCTGAGGGACAGTCTCCGGGAGGCTGGACTGGAGTCCCAGGTGACTGTAAGCTCAGTAGGAACCAGAAGTCTGTTTTAGTTCAGAGCAAGGGAGGGGAGAAACATATGTTTTGTACTACTCAGTCCATAAGTACTTGAATCCACTTCTGGTTTTAATTTTTTGGCGTCTGGGGCCAGAGCAATAGTACAGTAGGTAGGGCGTTTACCTTGCACGTGACTGGCATCTCATATGGTCCTCCAAGCATCACCAGGAGTAATTCCTGAGTGCAGAGCCATGAGTAACCCCTGAGCATTTCCGGGTGTGACCCGAAAAGAAAAAAATTGTTGACGACTGTTGTTTAGATGAAGTATTTTTGTTTTTTGTTTTTTTTTTTTAGTGCCAGACATCGTTTGCCAGGGCCTCACACATGCCAGGCATAAGACCTCTGAGCCACATCCCTGGCCCTGGATCTAGTTCTGGTTACTGTTTTTCAGAAAGGAAAGATGAGCAGGGCCTTATTCAGGGAAACTAAAGAACATTTTACCTAAAGAATTTTGCCCGGGAGCCTAAAGAACATTTTGCTTTGGAAGAGTAAACTCAGAGGTGCTACTTTTATTTTTGGACTTCTCAAGCAGTGCTCAGGGGCCTGAGGGCCACTCAATCAACATGACTGGCAGTTCAGTGCAGAGGCCTGAGGATGAGGGACTGCTTGGGCCGTGCAGTGCCAAGGATCACCAGAGTCACACCCAGCAGAGCTCTGGACCACCATGTGGTGGCAGGGACTGAACCTGGGTTGGCGTCTCTAAGCCATATGCTTCACTCCTGCACTATCATTCCAGCCCTGTAACTTCTACTTTTAGCTACAAAGGAAGCAAACTCTATGACTGAGCGTTGGTTTAGCCATCCAGCCCTGGTTAGGTCTGAATCTCAGTTCTGCTGTTTCCCACTGTGTGACCCTAGGCAGCTGGCTCCCTCCCTCTGATAGTCGGCTTCCTCCTCTAGTACCTCCCAACTTCCGCTGATTGCTGAAGAGGGTGTGAAGGGATGGTATGTCTCAGTGTTAGGCGTCCTGCTCAGCACAGAGTGAATAGTAACAGACTGCGTGAGTGAATAGACTGCTAACCATAGAGATGCAAACCATGCTTAGGAATTTTGGTTAAGAAATTTTTAATCTGCACTTGTTTGTTCATTGCAGCACTCTTTACAATAGCCAGAATCTGGAAAAAAACCGAGTGCCCAAGAACAGATGACTGGTTAAAGAAACTTTGGTACATCTACACAATGGAGTACTATGTAGCTGTTAGAAAAGATGATGTCATGAAATTTACATACAAGTGGTTCTACATGGAAAGTATCATGCTAAGTGAAATGAGTCAGAAAGAGAGGGACAGACATAGATTGCATTCATCTGGGGAACATAAAGTAACAAAATAGGAGACTAACACCCAAGAATAGCCCAGATAAGTACCAGGAGGTTTACTCCATGGCTTGGAGGCCAGCCGCACATGCTAGGGGAAATGACAGCTCAGATAGAGAAGGGAGCACCAAATAAAGGGTGTTGGGAGGATCCTCCCAGGATGGGAGAAGGATGCTGAAAGTAGACTATAGACCAAACATGATTGCCACTCAGTGCCTCTTTTGCAAACCATGACACCCAAAAGGAGAGAACAAAAGGGAATGCCTTGCCACAGAGGCAGGGTGGGATGGGTGGGATGGGGGGGATTGAGGGTGGGAGGGATACTGGGACCCGTGGTGGTGGAAAATGGGCACTGGTGGAGGGATGGGTATTTGATCATTGTATAATTGAAACCCAAGCACAAAAATTTGTAAGTCTACAACTGTACCTCATGGTGTCTCACTAATAAAAATTTTTTAAAAAATAGAAATTTTTGGTCTGGAGCCAGAGAGGGCAAAGGGTAAGGTGCTTGCCTTACAAATGGCCAGTCGGGGTTAGATCCCTGACAACGCATATGGTCCCCTGGGCATCACCAGGAGTGATCACTGAGCACAGAGCCAGGAGTAAACACTGAGCACTGGTAGGTGTGACCCCTTCAGCCCCAAGAAAAAATAAAATTCTGGTCTCTACCAGCCTATTCACTATTTTATTAGTTTAGTCACACAAAATAGTGGGTTTTGTTTTGTTTAATTTTTTTTTTTGTGAAGCAAGATAGGTTTTGTTGAAACTTATTTGGAAAGATTTGAGGGGAGAGAGAAGGAGAAGTACATGTTCAAGACCGAGAACACAGACTTCTCCAGAGTAGAAATAGGTGAGGAAAGAAACATGGAGGCAAGCAAGTGAGATAGGTATTCAAGGGAGAATACGGGCTTAAAGAGCAAGCTGATGCAAGGTAGTTTTTATTGAATGAAATTTACTTAGAAAGATGGGAGGTGAGGGGCCAGAAAGACAGTATAGTGGGTAGGGCCTTTGCTTTGCATATAATCGACTTGGGTTCAGTCCCCAGTACCCGATATGTTCCCTCAAGCTCAGGAGTGATCCCTGAATGCTGAGCCAGGAGAAAGTCCTGAGCACTGCCAGGTGTGGTCCCAAAACCAAAATAAATACATTTAAAGCAATTGAATCTCAACTTCATTCTTTTTTTTTTTTTTTTTTTTTGCTTTTTGGATCACACCCAGTCATGCTCAAGTGTTACCCCTGGCTCTGCACTCAGGAATTACTCCTGTGGTGCTAGGGGGACCCTATGAGGTGCCAGGGATCAAACCTGGATCAGTTGTGTGTAAGGCAAATGCCCTACCCACTGTACTATTCCTTTGGTCCCTCAAGTTCATTATAAGACTCCTTCCTCCCATTAAGAAAGAAAAAAAGAAGTGAGGAAGAGAAGAATATGTGTTCAAATGAGAATATGGGCTTCTCCAAAGTGGAAAAAGCAAGCAAGGAAAGAGACATACAGAACTGTGTCAGAGGCCAGCTGGACTTAAGAGAGTCAACCCCATTCTCCATTTTAAATGGTGAGACAAGGACTAAATGAGAAAAAATGTGCCCAGCAAAGCTTTCTGTCACACACAGAAAAGTGGTATGTTGCTGTTCCTGGGTGGGGGTCATCAGACTGCCCTTGATTACCTGAGGGTCCCCTTGGTGCATTCGGGGCTGATCACCATCCCTCAGCCAGTTTTCACCAGAAGGATGAACAAAGGGGCAGAGCCAGGACTGGAGAGATAGCACAGTGGGTAGGGCGTTTGCCTTGCACGCAGCCGACCCGGGTTCGATTCCCAGCGTCCCATGTGGTCCCCTGAGCACCGCCAGGAGTAATTCCTGAGTTCAGAGCCAGGAGTAAGTAACCCCTGTGCATTGCTGGGTGTGACCCAAGGTAAAGGTAAAAGGTAAAGGCCCTCCCGTTGATCGTCGATTTGCTCGAGCGGGCCCAGTAACGTCTCCATTGGAGACTTTGTTGTTACTGTGTCTGGCATATCGAATACTCTCGGTAGCTTGCCAGGCTCTTCGAGAGGGGCAGAGGAATAGAACTCGGGCCGGCCATGTTGGCCGCTTGTAAGGCCCAAAAAGCAAAAAAAAAAAAAAAAAAAAAAGGGAAGGGGCCACCAGGCTGGTAGGAAATCAGTGACTGTTTAAGTCTCACAGGGTTAGTTATAGAGAAATCATGAAGGGTTGGAGGTAGCAATTACACTTAGGTGTGGTTGAACGTTATTATAAACAATGAACAGATATAAAGCCTTTCCTTCAGGGAAGTTCAAGAGGATTAACTTGAGGACAAAATCAGCACTCTAGATTCCTGCTAAGAGATTCGCCCAAGGGTAGAGTTCCATGTATAACTTTTCCTTTCCTTAGCCAGTGTCCATTTAAACAATCATCTTACATTTATTTCTTAATAATATTTCTAGTCATTTTGCATGGGTACAGTAAGAGATATGTTAAGCTTTTAAGTGGCTCTTTCTGGGTGGCTCTTTCTGGGGACATCCTCAGGCCAGGTTAGTCTTTCCTAACCCCAGGATCCTTATTCAGTTACTTCTTTTTGGTCATGACAGAGTTTGTTCCATGACCATGCTCTTAACTTATTATACTTTTTATGGCGTTTAGTCTGCCCCTTCTCAATGCCAGGGTTGCTTACAGCTTGTCCCTTGTCCCTCAGAGGGATCCCCATTTTTGGGCCTTAGGAACTAAGGGCAGCTGAGGCTTAAGTCAAGTAAATATGATAAATGCCCAGGAATAAATATTATTCAGTCAGTTAACTCCCATGTTACAAAAGCATAGCATTAACTGTCTTCCTGTGTCTATACAAAAAGGACATTGCTCTAAAATAAACTATGCAAAGGATGTAAAGGAAAGAGAAAAACAATATTTCACTTCATCATCGTCATCATCACTGTCATCCTGTTGATCGTTGAATTACTCGAGTGGGTGCCAGTAACATCTGTATTCCTCCCAGCCCTGAGGTTTTAGCAGCCTCTTCTTACTCGTCTTTTCCCAATGATTGGAGGCTCTTTCAGGGTCAGAGGAATGAGACCTGTTGTCATTATTGTATTTGGCATTTCGAATACACCACGGGGAGCTTGCGAGGCTCTGCCCTTGTGGGCGGGATACTCTTGGTGACCGGGCTCTCCGAAAGGCATATATATACATACACAAAATCCAAAGCCCTCAGAAGAGTTTGAATTTTTAAGTCACAGGGTCTGATTTGGGGATATTAGTGATTAACAGATAGGGGAAGAAGATCACAAAGGAGAGGTTAAAGATATACACACAGAGGATTAGGAGTGCCTGATGGAATTGGATGTGCCTTGGGAGCACTGTGGTGGGAGTAACTCAATAAACCTAAGCTCCCTACAGGCTTAGGTTTATTGAGTTCCCCACAGGGGATGAAAAGTCTCCAATGGAGACGTTACTGGGCCCGCTCGAGCAAATCGATGATCAATGGGAGGGCCTTTACCTTTTACCTTACTTCTTAAAATGCTTAGAACTATAATCCAACAGTGGTGAGTGATCTGAATGGCCAGTGGTAGGACCTGTGTTGAGGTTTTCACCAGTGACTGGGAGGTTGGGCTGTTAATGTCCCTTCCAGTCCTGAAATGACCGAGTCCTTGGGGGTCAGCTCCAGACGCTTCTGTTGGAGTCGATTCTACGTGGTCCTCAGGCTCCACCTACTGGCCACATGTAGACTTGCAGACACTAGTCCAGGGGTGAAATAGGCCTTATGGAGTCTCCTGGGCCTGGGGAGGAGCCCCTCCCCCCAGCTCAGTATCCCAGGCCCCCCTGCCCCCAGGACCGGGACTTCATCATGACCTTCAACACATCTCTGCACCGCTCCTGGTGGATGGAGAACGGCCCCGGCTGCCTGGTGACCCCTGTCCTGAACTCCCGCCTGACCCTGGAGGACCATCATGTCATCTCTGTCACAGGCTGCCTGCTTGACTACCCCTACATCGAAGCACTCAGCAGCGCGCTGCAGATCTTCCTGGCCGTGAGTCCACACACCCAAGCCTCTCCCATTCACCGTAGTTAGCAGGGACACACCTAGGTCTCCAACCTTCCAGTGCTGCTTCCTGGCTCTATCCTGTGCCCGGTGTCCCTTCTCTATCCCAGTGACTGAGCTGGCTTAACGCGCTAGGCCTGCGTCAGTCCTGGGTGGGTCTCCAGTTTACTCACTGTGTAACCTTGGACAAATCACTTGCTGTCTGCAGTGTCCCCAAAACAGAGGTGTCAGCCCAGGTGTGAGACAGGGGTGCTAGATTTACCAGCCTAGGTATGAAAGAGGGGTGGGTGCTAGAGTTACCAGCCCAGGTATGAAGAGGGGTGCTAGAGTTACTATCCAGGTATGAAAAAGGGGTGCTCTCCCAGAGACTCAGAAACAAATCTCAAAACCCAGCAGCTTTTGGCAGAAATGCGTCCAGACCCCGCAGTAGGTTACTGTCACTGGGCCACCCCAGGGGGGAAAAGGTGTTGTCCCTCCTCCGCCTGCTTCTCCCTGGTGGTTCGGTGGCTGTCATCCTCCAGAGGCCATTGGACAGTCAGGTTTGGACCCGCAGTGATGAGACATTTTGGGCCTCACGGGATGGGGGTGGAGCCAGTCCTGTCCTCCAGTCCTCCTCCTGTCCCAGCAAGACGCCAAGTCATCGCCCACGAATGGCCTTTCTGGCTCCTGATCAAGCTGCTTAACGGCCATGATCCCAGAGACTCGGGAGCAAATCTTGAAACCCAGTGGCTTTTGGCAGAAATCCCTCCAGATTTAAGTGTTAAAATTTCGGAATTTCAAAATCACATGGTCCTACTGCAGCCATGCGACATCATATGTTATTCGTAACCAGCAATAGAAAACAAATTGTCTACTGTTGCCTTTTCAGCAGATCTGAGTTTTGGGGTAAAATCTCAAATAATAATAATGGTGGGTCTGGTGTCAAAATATTGAATGTGATCAAAGTAGAGATAGAGTAATGTGGAAATCATCTGCCCCACAGGTAGGGGGAGGGTGTAGGATGGGGGTATACTGGGGTTGTTGGTGGTGGAGAATGGGCATTGGTGAAGGTGTTTCATTGTATGACCGAGACTTAGACCCGAAAGCTTTGTAACTGCTCTCACGGTGATTCAATAAAATTCCAAGGTGGAGTTCATGCACAATTCAATCAGCTAATCAGTGGTTGAATAAATAGCAGTTCTCCTACATTAAAAAAAAGAAAGAAAAAGAGGTGCTAGAGTTACCAACCTGGGTATGAAAGAAGGGTGCTAGAGTTACCAGCCAAGTATGAAGAAGGGTGCTAGAGTTACTAGCCTGGGTATAAAGAGGGGTGCTAGAGTTATCAGCCCGGTAATAAAGAGGGGTGTTAGAGTTACCAGCCCAGGTATAAAGAGGGGTTCTAGAGTTACCAGCCCAGGTATGAAAGGGAAGTGTCTCCTTTGCGACCATCATTATCTCTACTTTACACACACAAGGCCACATAATCCTCTACTCCTAAGCCAATACGGCATTGATTGCCCAGGTCCAGTTGGAGAAACTGAGGCTCAGGAAGGTAATGACTAGACCCGATTCTCACCCATGGAAGGGAGCGCAGAGCCTGGACTGTCCACATTTCCCCTGCCTGATGCTATCGTGGACTTGCTGTGTCTCGGGACTGGCGAGTGGTGGGCAGGTCAGGCGCTGCCCTGTTGTCCTTCCCTCCCTGACACGCGTGCCCTCCGCAGCTCTTCGGCTTCGTGTTCGCCTGTTACGTGAGCAAAGTGTTCCTGGAGGAAGAGGACAGCTGTGAGTAGCCCTGGGGCCCTTCAGCACCACGGACAGAGCCTTGCATGGGGAGGGGTGGACAGTGGGGAAGAGGGGGGTGGCAGGGGAGAAGAAGTAGCAGGGGTAAGTGGGAGGGGCCCATTGTGTGATGCCTACTGGGCAGCCCCTCTAGCTGGGCTCCTCCTCCCACTCTCTGGCCCACCCTGTGACTCAGTCTGCCTTCCTCCAGCAGCCCACTGCCCTCACCCCCAGGCCTTCTTGAGCCCGGCTCCTTCCAGGCCCCTCTTTTAGAAAGAAGCTACTTGGGGGAAAACCACATCCCAGATGCAGCCCCAGATTCCTTCCTCTCAGCCCTACCCCTGACCCAGGCCTCCGCCTCTCCTGCAGTTGACTTCATCGGTGGCTTTGATTCCTACGGGTACCAGGCGCCCCAGAAGACGTCGCATTTACAGCTGCAGCCTCTGTACACGTGGGTTTGGGGGTTTGGCTTTGTTTGGGGGCGGTTCTTTTGGCTCTGCCCTCGGGTATCCCTGCTGGCTCCGGAGGGCTCAGGGGACCACAGGGGGGGTGGGACCGAGCTCCGAGTCAGCGACGGGCAAGGCAAGCGCCCTGCCCGCTGTGTTGAACCGCCGGGCCCTGTGCGAGCAGGGTGGGGTGGAAGGGGGCGTGGAGAGGCCGTCAGGAGACTCACGTCCCTAATGTGCCTTTGTCCCCCGCAGGTCCGGCTAACTTCTGCTCGGCGCCCACCCCGCGGCCACTTCGCCTGCGGCTGGACAGACTACGCCGCCGCTGCCGCTGGTCGGGCCCGCATGGGCTGGCGCGCCCCCTGGCGGCCCAAGGACCGACTGCAGCCTGCGCTGGCTGCCCGTGGCTGGGCAGCGGACTTGGACTTGGCCCTTGCCCAGGCTCTGGGTGGGGCAAGTTGGGATGCGGGAGGGGGATCTCGGGGTTTGTATTTTTTTTAAACTCAGCCTTGGCCGGCGCTGGGGCCTCCCTCTGTTCCCCAGCCTCTCCCTACCACCTTCTCCCCAGCATCCTGTCCCCTGTCCAGAGAGAAAAGGCAGAGTGGACAGACTCACCCCATCTCTCTGCACTCACTCATCCCCCGGCCCAGGGGAGCGGGAGTCCTGGCTTCTAAGCGCTTCTCCCTCACTGACTGTGGGGCCTGGCCCTGGAAACCCTCTCTGGGCCTCAGTTTCCCCACCTCAGATAATTAAAATCACCCCTTAGCCAACGGAACGCTTTCCGGCCTTCTCATTTGACTCGCAGTCCCCTGTGCTAGGCTCAGGCTGTCATGCTCCTTGGCAGCTGTGGAAACTGCGGCTCAGAGATGTGAAGGGACTTGCTCAGGCCCCACACCGGGCTCCGATGGTGGAAGGCCTTGCCCAGTGTACTCCAGAACCCATGCCTGGTCTCTGTTCCATTTCCAAGCCCCTTTCCCCCCTCACCCTCTAGAACTATGTAACCCCCCCCCCGCCCACACACACACACACACACACACACACACAGCACTGATGCCTCATAGCACCACTCACCATCAACCCTCTTAAAGCGATATCCCCTTTCTCTGGCTGGAAATGGATTTGGGGGGAACCTGAAGCCCCGAACCTAGGCCTCTGAGTCCAGCCTGACCACAGCCTGAGTCCAGATGCCTCCTGCTCACCCTCTGCCCACCCTTGGCAACTTTCCAAGTTCTCTCCAGTCAAAGAATGGATCATGACTCAGTCGTGCCACCACTGCCCTGGTCCCTGGCACTGTCCAAGTGTCTGCCACACTCCAGCCCCATACCCACGTGGTGGCGCCACCACTGCCCCCCACCTGCTCTGGGTACCTCAGCCTGTAGGAAACCTGACGTTCCAGAGTGGACAAGGCAGAGCTGCCCCAGCCTCAGTGTCTGACCTGGGCAATGTCCAGCACCAACCTCTGAAGGGCAGATGGGGCTGTGGGCCCTGGTTCCTGGAGCTCTTTCTCCCCACGGACACCTCCACAGCGGGAGCAGGACAGTCAAGGTCGCTCCCTGGTTTGGGAGGAGAGAGCAGGCCTGGATTGAGGCCATGCCCCATGGTTCTCTGGCCTTACTCCTGGCTCTGCGCTCAGGGATCACTCCTGGCGGCTCAAGGGACCATAGGGGTTGCTGGGGCTCGACCCCCAGGACGGCAAAGCAAGCGCCCTCGCTGCTGTTTGTCCCTCTGGCCCCTGTGTGTGTGGCTCACCGAGCAGGGTGGGGTGGAGTGTGGGGATGTGGGTGGAGTGTAGGCCATGCACAGCAGCCTTACATGGCGTAGGGGGCCTCTCCCCCGCATTCCTTGCTCTCTGCTCTCCCCTCAAGCTTGCCCCATCGTCGAAGGTCAAACAGCCTCCAGAGCTGGGCCTTGTGCCTCCAGCCCACTGCAGAGGCTTCTCTGACCATCACAGGCCCTGGGATTGGCCTTGGTGCAGCCTTGAGGAACTCTGCGGGCCCCAGTCCTTTTCTCCCACCCCTGCCGGCTGTCATCTCCCTCCCCAGCTTTCCCTGCCCCTTTTCTATTCAACAGGTTTAGCCACTGGTGCTTTGCAGTGTTCTGTTTTTATAAGATTGTCTCTGCCAGGGCCGCGTTCTCTTCCTGGGGCCGTGCAAGGTGGACTCTGTGCGGTGGTTGATTAAAGACTGGTGTTTGCTTCTCTATCCTGCCCAAGTCAGCTTCTGCAAGAGAAGGACAGAGAAAGAGGGCAGGGCTGGGAGGTGAAGTCACTGCCCTAATTGGACAGCCCTGGGGCACTGGTTTGTGCCTCCTAGCTGTGTGGTCCGACTTCCCCTCCTTACCCAGAGAATCAGGTGGTGCTAAGAATCCAGGGAGCTGCCTGTTGATGTTCCTGATGAAGCACATTTGGGGGGATGTCTCCTTCCAAATAGCCTTTGCATCTTGCTCTGTCCATGCCTGACTTGGAATTCCATTCCTGACATGGAAAAAGGCAGCACAGAGTGGCTTCGACACAGAAGCCTTTTTTGAACATTGGTGGTTATTTATTTTCCTCATTCCCTTTCTTGTGATGATGACAGCCGCCGGGCACTCAGGGGCAGCTCTGGCCCGCTCGCGTGTGGTACTCACCAGGGTTACACGCTTTAGTTGGGGTGCTTACACACACTTGGTTGCAGTGCATGGGAGATCATAAGCAACAGTGCCACTGGGAGTTGCACTTGGCATATGGGGTGATCTGGGGATCAAACAAACCCTTGGTCTCTTGCCTACAACGCGGTTGCTTACCGCTTACCACTGAGCCACATCCACAGCTGCAGTTCTTGCAAAAATTGTTTGCTTGCTTCTCTCTCTCTCTCTCTCTCTCTCTCTCTCTCTCTCTCTCTCTCTGATACAAGTGCCTTACCTACTGTATTATCATTCTGGCCCCTTCCCACCTTTTTCCTGCATTTCACAGTTTATTCTACTTTCCCATTTCACAGAAATGAATCTTGGAATCTCCCCCCAATAATACACCTGTCCTTGGGCTGCAGAGAGCTCAGCTGGCTGAGAACATGCTTTTCGTGCCTAGGTTTGATCCCCAGCACTGCATACGGTTCACCAGAGCCCTGCTGGGAGCCACCTGTGAGCACAGAGCCAGCATTCACACCACTGGGTGTGACACACACGCAAAATAATAGCTGGGATTATTATTTTTTTTAATTAAGATTCCCTAGGACTGGAGCAATAGCACAGCGGTAGGGTGTTTGCCTTGCATGCGGTTGACCTGGGTTCTATTCCTCCATTCCTCTCGGAGAGCCCGGCAGGCTACCGAGAGTATCCCGCCCACATGGCAGAGCATGGCAAGTTCCCCGTGGCGTATTCGATATGCCAAACACAGTAACAACAAGTCTCACAATGGAGATGTTACTGGTGCCTGTAAGAGCAAATTGATGAACAACAGGAGGACAGGGCTACAGTGCTAAGATTCCGCAATTGGGAAAAAAAGATTCCCTGATGATGGGCTGGAGAGATAGTATAGTGGGAAGGGCGCTTGCCTTGCACAAAACCAACCTGGGTGTTTTTTGGTTTTTGTTTTTTGTTTTGGTGTGGGGGGGTACACCTGGCTGTGCTCAGGGCTTATTCCTAGCTTTTCACTCAGAATCACTCCTGACAGAGCTCAGGGGACTGTGTGGGATGCTGGAGATTGAACCCGGACCTGCTGCACTCATGGTAAGTACTCTGCCTGCTGTACTACCTCTCTGACCCCACCCAACCTACGTATAGTTACCTGAGCAGCACCTGGTGTGACCCACCCCCCTCAAAAACAAAAGGAAAAAAAAACCCAGATTACCTGATGAGAGGCCCAGAGGAATATCACAGTGGCTTAGAGCCCCTTCCCTGTAAGCATGTGGTGAAGAGTTCAAATCCCCAGTGGCTCTCATACACCAAGTGAAGTCCTGGCAGCTTTACTGTTCGAGTCTGCAGCTGTGCTGTCTGCGATGCCAGTGTAGCCAGGAGTGTGTAGACACCATAAAAAGAGTTACAGGAGCTGGAGTGGTAGTGCAGTGGTAGTTGCTTGCCTTGCACGTGGCCAACTATGTTCGATCTCGGGCATCCCATATGGTTCCCCAAGAACTGCCAGGAGTGATTTTGAGTGCAGAGCCAAGAGTAAGCCCTGAGCATTGCCGGGTGTGCCCCTCCCCCCGCGATAAAAGAGGTACAAGCCCTGCAAGCACAAGTCAAGGATGTGTGGTTATCATTGCCAGGGGGTGTGACCCTGATGAGTGTGTGCGCAAGCACCACAGCTAAAGGAATGTGAGCCTCAAGGAGCATCTTGGCCAAATATATGAGTACGTGACATGTGACCCCATGGACTACCACAAGGCTGCCCTCTGCCACATGGCACATGGCAAGGGACAGGGTAGACAAAATAGCAAGTAAGTTGGGGGGGGGTGGTTAGGCCACACCCAGCAGTGCTCAAATCTTCCTCTTAGCTCTGCTCAGGGCTCACTCATAGTGGTGTTCAGGGGACTATATTTAGCACTAGGCATTGAACCAGAGTTGGTCACATAAAATGCAAGTACCTTAATTCCTATACCATCCACTTAATCACTTAATCCCCATTATTCATCGATTTACTCGAGCAGGTGCCAGTAACGTCTCCATTCATCCCGGTTGCGTGCTAGCGTAGCCCAATGGTATCTGTTCGTTCTAGGAACATGCAGAGCCTTGTTCTAGGAACAGCCTTGTTCCTGACGCTCCATTCGCTCTCAACGGAACCACCATCTCCGAATGCAACAGTTATATATACCTAGGTCGAGAAATCAACATGATGAATGACCTGGCACCTGAGTTGTGCAGGAGGAAGAGAGCGGCTTGGAATGCCTTCAAGAGCGTTGAAGAAATAACTAAGAGGACAAAGAACCTCCAGCTACGAGCACATCTCTTCGATTCCACTGTTCTTCCTGCATTAACATATACCTCAGAGACCTGGGCCCTACGAAAACAGGATGAGAACACTATTCGGGTCTCACAGAGGAATCGAGAGAGCAATGCTTGGAATATCACGATTCACTCAAATACCATCCAGCCCAGTAAATAAATGTAAAATCCTCAGATGATCCTGAGGCAGCCCAGAACTAAGACCCAGTGGTTCTACTAGACAGAATGGCCAGGACCAGTTCGTGAATGCCCTTGTCCACACCTGGCTGTGGTGAAAGTAAGTGGCAACTCTACCTCCCCGAGTTCCTGGTGGCAGAAGCCCAGGGATGGGCAGAGAGAAGGGTGAATGTTGACGGATGCTGGTCGCTGACACAGAGAAAGGAAGGACTTATTAACTTTTTTGCTAATAGTCGTTTAATATAAAACTTGGGAGAGAGGTGACCTGAGGACCTCAGCAGGCGAGCAGAGGCATGCAGGGAGGAAAATGCATCCTCTAGAGTTTGGAGAAAACTTCAGTGGAAAATGCTGTTTTCAGTTAGCAAACACATAACAAAGTACCACATTCATATCTTCCAAGGGAGGGGTTCTTCCCCCTGGAGCTCAGAGGACCAGGTGGTGCTGGGGATTGACCCTGGGCCTCCTGCATGCAAAGCTGCCCTCTGCCCACTGACTTATCTCTTTAGCCAGCTTTAGTGTCAATGCAAATTTTTTGTTGTTCAAGGTGAGCATCCTGCTGATGTTCTGGGGTTTCTCCTAGTTCTGTACTCAGGGCTCCTGGTTGTGTTCAAGGGACCATATGGGATGCCAGGGATCGAATCTGGGTCTACTGTACTATCTTCAGCCCAACACAAATTTAATGTCTGAACTTTTGC